TTTTTTTTTTTTTTTTTTTTTTTTTTTTTTTTTGCAAGGATTTTCGACAGTCCACCGAATAATAACACAGAGAGACGAAGAGGGTAAATGAATAAAAAAAAATGTATTTTTTTCCACACTCCTTTTTAATTTTTTTCTTTCTTCTTTTTTCTTCCCCTTTCTTTTTTTTCTGCTCTGCTCTTCTTGTTGTTGTTCCAAACAAACCTGCTGAAGATCCTGGAATATGGAATGAGCATTAGTTTATTGCTGTTGCTGTTTTCGATTTATTTGAATGTGTTAAATTCAGTACGGATAAATCGACAAATGCGAAAAATAAATAAAAATAAAAATAAAAAAAAGTGAAATTAAATAAGATAAAAGAACAAAAAAAAGACATTATCATCGAATAAACACACAAATTGGAACATTAATAAATCCATAATAGAATCCTTAAGTTTTTTTCAAGTTTTTTTTTTGCTTTTCTTTCTTTTCTAGTATAACAGTTCATTGTTATAACACAATTATAAAAACCAAAATTAAAAAAGAAAAAAAGAAAAAATTAAAAAACCTTATCACAACAAACCAACATACAAAAAAAACATCATATTTCTTAATTAGCCAACTAATTTACTGTTTATGTATCAAAAATCAAAAAAAAAAGGCTTCCCCCTCCACGGCCTTTAAAAATTTTGTTGAAAAAAGTGTCAAAATGAACAAACTTTTTTCTCTCATTCTTTTTTCCCCTATCTTTTAATAGCCATTTTCTTTTTTTTATTTTTTTTGTGCCACCACTTAGTTCATCGTAAAAAAAAGTGTATTAACAAAAAAAAGGAAACATTTAAAGCAAATATAAGTACTGTTTAAAGAACAGTTTTAAAACTGCAGAAAAAAAAACCAAAAACTTTTGTTTTTGCTTCCTTCTAATTTCTCTTTTTTTTCTTTGCTTCTAGGAGAACAACAGAAAAAAAAACGCAAAAATTTCTGTTATTCAATTTAAAACCAACACAAAAAAAGATGCAGATACAGGAATAATTCCATTAAACTACGTTTCCTTCCCTTAACTGAACTCAACAGTAAGAATAAATGCATACATTCTGTGTTACTGAAAAAAGAAAAAAAGGACAACTAAAATTGACGGTAAGTTAAAAAAGACAAAAAAAAAAAAAAAGAAGTACATACAAAGAAAAAAATAAAAAAACAACAAAAGTTGAGTTGAAGTAACAGACAGTGTCCTCGAATTTTGAAGCGTGCAGTCTATGACACAAAAATAAACTGATTAACTGCCGAAGTCACTATCACATCTAAATCAAATCAGAGGTCGCGATATTTGCCTCTAAGCTAACAAGGGTACTACAGAAACCAAATTAATCATCTTTGATCACTGTCCATTGCTGTTACTGCTGATGTCGTATGATTTGAGCTTCAAGGTTAGTAAATACAAAAAAGACTACAACAGCAACAGGAAGAACCACCTAGCAATTCTGTTGACGACAGAAGACTGGAGGAGCCAAGAAAAGGAGAAATCAAAAAGTGGTTTGTGTGTATTTACCGCTGCTTATGGGAAGTGGGGATGGCAAGGGGTGGGGGAAAGCGGATAGCCGCAGTCAAGCAGGTTAGTTTGGTCGTCGGTGTCAGTCGACTACAAATGAGGGTCGAGAAGAATTCTTGCAGTTGTGGCCAGTGTCTGTAAAAAGTATTCTCGAGTACTGGAATAGACTGTGTGTGTGTATGTGTATGTGTGTGTGTGTGT